AGGAGGAGGCAGAGACGGCAGCACAAGAGGCAGGCGGCTCCCAGACAGGTGGGTAGGGGCTGGTGACACAGGCAGGGGGATAGGCGTGGAGAGCTAGGGCTGGCCTAGTGGCTGGCACTGGGCGTTCTCAGAGTGGATAAACTATACTTGGCTGGTAACAAAAGAGATGAAGTTCTGCCTGGGAGGAGCCCCATAAATCCAGGTCCACTTAAGGAGCTCTGTTTCGGAACTGGGGGCTGGGTTTCTAGCTGGCTGCCTTTCAATCCCCTCTCTATCTTTTACAGAGCCCTATCTGGAGCACCCCTCCCCTACCCGCCCCCTTCAGCGCCAGACTACCTGGGCTGGGCGAAGCCTGAGGGACCCTGCCTCGCCTGCGGGGCGCCTGGTGAAGAGTGGCAGCCTGGGGAGTGCCCGAGGGGCACAGCCCACTGTGGAGGCTGCCGTGGCCCACAGTGAGTGCCCTCGTCCCACACCCCAACCCTCAGCCCCGTCAGCTTCCCTGACCACTTGCCAGTGAAAGCGGGGAAGGCCAGAGCCAGGAGGGACGGGTGGTGCTTTGTGGTGGGCACTGTAGGCACTGAGGGAATCTTGCCTGGACTGTCACCATGGTGGGGGCTGTGGTGCCAGAGTCTGTACAGCCAGGAATTGTGTTTACTCAGTTCCTGGAGGAGGGACTGGCCTCCATCTTCCCTGATTCTTTTCTGCCCTGTAGTGATAGAGGCCTTGGGGGTGCTGGAACCCCGGGGATCACCTGTGCCCTGGCACGATGGAAGCCTCTCAGACCTGAGCCTGACCGGGGAGGAGCCGGCACCTGGAGGCAGCCCAGGGGACGCAGGCTCAGCCCTGAGTACCCAGTCCACTGAAACCCTGCAAGGGCCAAGTGGGCGGGTGCCCAAGGCTGGCTGGCATCAGGATGAGGCCAGCACCCCCCGAAGAGGGCTGGGTGCCCGCCTCCAACAGCTGCTCACTCCTTCCCGCCGCTCCCCTGCCTCTCGTGTTCCTCCGCCTGAGCTGCCCCCTGACCTGCCTCCCCCAGCCCGCCGCAGCCCCATGGACAGCCTTCTGCGCCCACGGGAGCGCCCTGGATCCACTGCATCCGAGGTAGCCAGTGAGGGGAGGGTCCAGACACTTTAGCACCGGGAGGCCTGGGGAGGAGCTGCTAACCAGGAGTGCGCAGAGAGGGCCTTGAGGGGTGGCTGAAGCCAGCATCCTGGGTGAAGAGGAGCATGGGTGTGGCTAACTATGCTTTCTCATGTAATGGCAGAGCTCAGCCTCTCTGGGCAGTGAGTGGGACCTCTCAGAATCTTCTCTCAGCAGCGTGAGCCTTCGCCATTCCTCAGAGCGCCTCAGTGACACCCCTGGATCCTTGCAGCCACCTTCCCTGGAAGTGAGGATAATCCCTCCCACGCAGATGTGCTTGAACACACACATACACCACACCCATTCACTCTGTCAAAGGCAGGGGTTGGGGAGGAGGTGGGAGGAGCCTGGGCTGGGATGTGAAGATGAGAGGGGCTGGGGAAGGAGCACGGGCTCCAGAGCCTAGAGGCCAAAAGGGGCCTGCTTCCTGGGGTCTCCTTGCCTGCAGATCCTGCTGTCTAGCTGCTCCTTGTGCCGCGCCTGTGATTCCCTGGTGTATGATGAGGAGATCATGGCTGGCTGGGCACCTGATGACTCCAACCTCAACACAACCTGTCCCTTCTGCACCTGCCCCTTTGTGCCCCTACTCAGTGTCCAGACCTTTGATTCCCGACCAAGGTGCCCAAAGCAGGGCGAGTGCTGTGGGTGGGGCAGGGAGGTGGAGGTCCGAGGGCTGACCCTCCTGCTATCTCGCTGCAGTGCCCCCAGCCCCAAGCCTGCCTCTGCTGGTGCCAGTGGCAGCAAAGATGCTCCTGTCCCTGGGGGCCCAGGCCCTGTGCTCAGTGACCGCAGGCTCTGCCTTGCCCTGGATGAGCCCCAGCTCTGCAACGGACACGTGGGGGTAAGGGCTGGGCCAAAGGGGCACAAGCAGTGTGTGTGTGTGTGTGTGTGTGTTGCCCTGTGGGTGGCCCCAGTGGTGCTGGGGAGAGGTAGGCATTGAGGGCAAGGGACGTCCCAGAAGCTGTTGGACATGGTGGCCCAGTGGGAATTGTGGCTCTGAGGATGGGACCGTGGTACATGCCCTCCATTGCCCTCCCACTTTGTGCCTGACAGGGTACCTCCCGGCGTGTCGAGAGTGGGGCATGGGCGTATCTGAGCCCCCTGGTGCTGCGTAAGGAACTGGAGTCGCTGGTAGAGAATGAGGGCAGTGAGGTACTGGCGTTGCCTGAGCTGCCTGCTGCTCACCCCATCATCTTCTGGAACCTTCTGTGGTATTTCCAGCGGCTACGCCTGCCCAGTATTCTGCCATGCCTGGTGCTGGCCTCCTGTGATGGCCCCCCACCTCCCCAGGTCAGTTCCCTGATATGGTCCCTGCTTCCTCATCTCCCAGCTCTGTTTCTCAGTCCTCTGTGTCTTCAGTGCTATAGAAAGAGCACAGGCTTTGGAGTTGGTTGTACCTGGTTTGACTCCCGGCCCTTTCACTTCACTACTCTGAGCTACAATTTCTCATCTGTAAAATGGCATAAGTGCCGCCCCCCCACCCCCACAGACAGGGCTGTTGTTAAGGCACCTAGTGTAGTGCCTGGTACCCAGACAATAATTTGTTAATGTTCATCTATTTATTGCTCTATTCACTGCACCAATATTTATTGAGCACCTTTTAGGTTCCAGGCAGAGTTTTAGGCACTAGGGATGTAGCAGATTACAAAACAGAGTCCTTGCTCTCAATAGAGCTTGCATTCCCACGGGGAACAAGAGTTCCTTTCTCTCTTCTCTTTGGCTATGTCCTGTAATGTTCCTGTCTCTTGGAATAACGCCTGTCCATTTCCTGTCCCCTGCCTCCCACCCCATGAGCCTCTCTCCTTTATCTTGGCTCCCCGCAGGCCCCATCTCCTTGGATAATGCCTGATCCAGCATCTGTGCAGGTGCGGCTGCTGTGGGATGTCCTGACCCCTGACCCCAACAGCTGCCCACCTCTCTATGTGCTCTGGAGGGTCCACAGTAAGTCTGGTATTTGGCCTAGGATGGGAAGGGGAAGGTCCCAGACTTAGAGGGCTCAATAATCCTGGCTACCTTCTTTTTTTTCACCCAGGCCAGATCCCCCAGCGGGTGGTATGGCCTGGCCCAGTACCTGCATCCCTTAGTCTAGCATTGCTGGAGTCCGTGCTGCGCCATGTCGGTCTCAATGAGGTGCACAAGGCTATAGGGCTCCTGCTGGAAACTCTAGGGCCCCCTCCCACTGGCCTGCACCTGCAGAGGTATCGTGTTCCTATCTGAGAGGTCCCTGGTCTGTCCTGGGCTCCATACCCCCTTTATCTCACTTATACCCTTTTGCCTCCACTCCAGGGGCATCTACCGTGAGATCTTATTCCTGACATTGGCTGCTCTGGGCAAGGACCACGTGGACATAGGTGAGGGAGCAGGCAGGGGGCTGAGGAGTTTAGGGATCTGGGGCCAGGTGTGGAAGCTTGGAATCCTAATATACTGACCTACCTCCACCCTCTTTCCTAGTGGCCTTTGACAAGAAGTACAAGTCCGCCTTTAACAAGCTGGCCAGCAGCACGGGCAAGGAGGAACTGAGGCAGCGGCGGGCACAGATGCCCACCCCAAAGGCCATTGACTGCCGAAAATATTTTGGAGCACCTCTGGAATGCTAGGGACCCTTAAGCTTCCTTCTCCAGCCTGGGCTGAGGAGGTGAGGGAGAATGGATTCTAGAGATAACCTGCTTCCCTGTTGCTTTCATAGAGGAGTTGGGAATAGGCTGGGAAGCATGCCGAGCCGTAGGCTCTGAATGGGGGCAGCAGGAAGAGGGACCCACTGTTACCAAAAGTCACAATTCCCCTATCTCCAACCTGCCCTCTGTGCTCATGTTGATGTTGGAGGAGGCCTGGGGGGAGCTGGCACATCTCTGTTCCGCCTCATCCTATACCAGGAACTCCTCTCCAGGGTACCCACAGATCTGCACTGCCCTGGTCATTTTATAAGTTTTTGTTTTAAAAAACAACTAGAAAGATACACAGCTACTGAGCCTTTGCCCTGAATGGGAGGGAGGGATGTCATTCCCCACCAATGATGGTCCCGCTTCCCTAGAGTTGCCGAAGGAGCCCAAGGCTCTCCATGCTTTTCTACCTTAGTGTTTGTATTTTATTTTAAGTTATTTATTCTGGAGCCACAGCCCCCTTGCTTATGAGGTTCTTATGGACAGTGAGAAAGAGAAGGGAAATGGGCCCACGTGGTCCAGTGGTTTGTAGCTCCTTGAAAGTTAGGAGGTGGGAGCTAGAGGAGTCCCAGCCTCCCCTTAGGAAAAACTGGTGCCCCTCTGGTCCTGATCCTTTCTGTCCACTCCACCTTGGGGAATGCTTCACCCACCCAGGGCCCTGACTGTGCAATAAGGATTGTTCCTTGCGAAGTTTTGTTGGATGTAATATAGTAAAAGCTGCTTCTGTCTTTTTCCTTCTGCCTCCTGTTCTCTGAGTCTGGGATAATGGTGGGGGATACCTCACTTTTTCTCCTGGCTACACATCCTCCTTTCCACCTTTGCATCCCTTGCTGCCTTCAGGCACGCACTGCTTTCCCTGACCAGGTCTGGTTCTGGTCCCTTGGGGCACAGGGAGTTCTTGGAGCAGGAGAGGGGTGAATCCGGTGCTGGCTATGGTGGTGCCAGTCTGTGTGGTACTTCCGGCCCTCCCACACAATCACCCCCTTGTCCCTCATCTGTACCCCAAACAAAGACTCCATTCTCTGGGGGCCCTGAGCTCATCTCTGCCTTCTTTCCTCTCCCCACAGCTTCCCCCTCCCAACTTCTCCAGTACCTCCACAGGGCAGCTCTCACGCATCCTGGGAGCCCTGGATCTCATTCTAGGCCTCCTTAGTTGCTCTAGTTGAAGGCAGTACTCTTCCAACCAGGGACTCAACCTGGGGACAGCACCAGGAAGACAGGGTCAAGGATTAAGGGGCTCACTGCGTGTGGGCGCCAGGCATCCAGGCATCATTTTTCTAATCCTTTTGGTCCACTCGGAGTTCTCCCTTTCTTTCCTATATAATGAAATAAACACAGGAAACACTCCTAACAGAGCTGCAAAATCAATTACCAAAGGGAATTAGCCAACAAAACAGAAATATCTTGGGGAAGGAGGGCAGGAGTGTCAATGGAGGAAATAACTTACATGAGCCTCTAGCGCAAATTCCTGGGGGTGGATATCGGTGGATGAAGAGAGCCATACCACTTCTGAATTCTGGGACCTTCAAGCCAGAGGATGCGTCCCCATCCTAACTTGAGCAGTGTCCTAAAGGAGCTGCAAAGGAGGGGCTTAGGAAATGCCATCTGTTTTTGCCAGGGACTAGGAGATGCCTTCTTCAGAGGGGAACCCTCATGTCACCCCAGGTTCTGATCAGACCTCACTCCCTAGAGTCAAACTTTCCCTGTATCATCCCCAACAACCTTCTGCAAAGTTGAGTGACTTCCTTCCTGAAAACATAAGTTTCTGTTGAGTGTAGCATGCCCAGCTGTGCACTGAACCATGTGGAATTATAGAGCGAATTTTGGGGCTCAGTCCCTACCTTAATAGAGCATACAGTCTTCCTGGTCTAGAATGCCCCAATGATGACTCTGCCTCCCAGCTTATGCTGCTCATTTTTCAACAGGCCTGTAGTCAGATGGGTGGAACTACAGAATTCTTTAACCGCGAGAGTACCTGCAGATTCCAATAGCAAAGTACTCACCACAGCATCTGACATCTCTGTCCTGTGGCTTAGGGAACTGTATGAGGGGCAGGATAAGTCCAAATTACCTGGCCCCATTTCTTTTCCCTGACTTTAGAGTGTGTAGGTTCAAGTATGACAAATTTTAGTTAAATCTTGTCTCTGGCACTTACTAATTTTATTACATCAGACAAGTTACTTAACTGCTGTGCCTCAGTTTTTCCTCATCTGCAAATTGGGGAGGTTGTTCAAAGATTAATTATATAATTTACATAAAGTGCTAAACACACTCAATAAATGTTAGCCACAAAAAGAAAACGAACAGAGCCTGCATAGGGCAAAGTCACGTCCACTACACCAGTGGCCTTGCTTACCTGTCTGTCTTGGAGCTTGATCACTCCAGATTGAAAGTTCCCCCTCCACGGCCTGATTTTAATTTTGCTGAAAGGCATTTTCTCAGGCCTCACTAGTATCTTCCTCAGGCTAGTATCTTCCACCACTGTGTTTCTCATATCCTTGCAGCCCTTGAAGAATGGCCCTTCAGACAGCAGAGAGTGCCCTGGACTGATAATGGACAAAGCAGCAGGTTAGGGAAAGAGGGCTGTACCTTCCATGAGGGCAGTGACTTTGTCCCATTTCCTGTATATCCCCAGCACATAGAAGAGTATCTAGTCACATAATAGGTCTTCTATCGTGTGTGAAATAACCGAGCCAGTGAAGGAATTAAAATGACATAATTTTCAGTGTGGTAAAAGACAGGTACTACAGGTAGAATACCAATCGAAGCTGAATTTTGAACTAAGAGGGTGAAATTGTTGGAAAAGTCAGGAAAATTCTCATAATAATGTTTACTGAGTACTTACTATGTGCTTAGCACTATCCTGAGCTTTTTAAAAAAAAAATATTTGTTTGCACCAGGTCTTAGTTGCAGCAGGCGGGCTCCTTAGTTGCAGCACATGGGCTCCTTAGTTGCGACTCGTGGGCTCCTTAGTTGTGGCATGCAAACTCTTAGTTGCAGCATGCACGTGGGATATAGTTCCCTGACCAGGGATCGAACCCAGGCCCCCTGCATTGGGAGCATGAGGTCTTACCCTGCGCCACCAGGGAAGTACCCCTCTGAACATCTAAAATGTATATTTTATAATCCTCACCATTACCCTATGAACTAGGTACTCATCAAGCATTCCCATTTTAAAGATAGGGAAAGTAGGGCATAGAAACTAGAGGTTAAGTAACTTGCACCCAAATCACACAACTGGTAAGAGATCCAAACCCAGACAGTTGGACTCCAGAGACCATGTTCTTGGAAAGAGAAGGTGTTTTATCCACTTTAGAACTGGGGCATGCCTCTGCATGTGTGTGTGTTCAGGGGCCCACCTGTATTTTTGTGGACATGTCCTTCATTAGTTTCATTTCTATTGCACAGCATGACTTCTAAATGATTCGAAAAAACACATTCTAGTGCTTCTGGAACCAGTTATTTCTGGGTTCAAACCACTGCTTAGTCACTAATTAGCTGTCTGACCTTTTCAAGTTCCTTAGCCTCTCTGAACCTTTTTTTTTTTTTTGCGGTACTCGGGCCTCTCACTAACGTGGCCTCTCCCGTTGCGGAGCACAGGCTCCGGACGCGCAGGCTCATTGGCCATGGCCCACGGGCCCAGCCGCTCCGCGGCATGTGGGATCCTCCCGGACCGGGGCACAAACCCGTGTCCCCTGCATCGGCAGGCGGACTCCCAACCACTGCGCCACCAGGGAAGCCCCTGAACCTGTTTCTTGATCTACCTGGATTCAAATTTCAGCTCTGCCACTTACCATGTGTAACTTTGGGCAAGTCATTTGATTTGTACCTCATTTTCCTCATCTGTAAAATGGGGATAACAGCATCTACCCCACAGAGTTATGAGGAATAAATAAAATAACCCACGCATAGCTCTTAAAAGAATAAATAAGGATGCATATATAGCACAGTGCCTCAGTCTCTTTTCCCAAAACGTTAGCTATTATTATTCCTTCAACACACTGACTCTGATACTTGGTCCCTATTCTCAGATGCTCAAGAACAATACTTGTGGTAAGTGCTCGAGAAACGCTGAGAGTTTAGGTGGGCCTAACTGCTTTTGCGAAGTAGGGAGGCTAGCAGGAGTTGGGCCTTGAGTGGAGTCGGTGGAGTGGGAAGCTGTTTCCCTCACTGTGAACCTGACCAGACCAAGAGATCCCGAGAGGAGCTGCGAGGGCTCTGCACGGCGTAATTTCTCAGCAATTTGGCTAGCTGCCTTTTTTCCTCCTGTCGTGGTTCAGTCACGACAGGACCATGCTGGGATACAATGAAGACCAGGAAGCTCAAGGCCTTTGGCAGATGGAGACAGGCCACGCCCCAAATAGACTGCAAGGCCTGAGCGCCTCAAGCTACTTCTATCGTGAAATTTCTGGATTCTGTCGGGATGAAACACCATCCAACACAGAGCCCAGCGCCGTTCGCCAGTCTCCATCTTTAGAATTGGAAGAATGAGACCAGGCCAAAGGGGAATCCCGGTTTTGGGATACTGGGGTACGGCGGCTGCCTGGGGACCAAAACGTCTCTAAGGTAAAGTTGCAGCCTGAAGCGATTTTTTGACCCCCGACACTTAATGGGCTGCTGAAGACCCGGATGTGTCTGGGACTGGCCGAGGTACCCATTAACGCGCCCCCGCTAGACCATCCCCCTCCTCCGTTTACGATTGGGTCTTAGGTACGCCAATCATCACTTCTCCAGCCACTCACTCTTCAAGGGTGGGGTGTAGCCCCGGCATCCTGTCTCCTATTGGTGTGGCCGAGAAGAGGAGGGCGGGGAGGCCGGCTCAGGTCGCCCAATGGGCGTCGTGGCGTGTGGGGAAGGCGGAGTCGAGGCGCTTGGCAGCTGCCCAATCAGCGTCCTTGTTTGTGTGGTGCCGCCGCCGCCGGTGCAGCCGCCGCCGCCGCCGCTGCCCCCGTCTGTACCGCAGTGTCTGCTCCGCCCGCCCGCCCGGGTCCGGCCCGCCCCCCACTCCCACCCCCGCCCCCGGTCCCGTCAGCGGGGTCCGGAACCTACTGTGCCGTAGCCTCTTCCTTTTTCGACGCCGCCGCCGCCGCCTGGGGAGGCGAGCTAGCCGGGAGTTACACCGCCACCGCCAGGTGAGGAGCTTTGGCCTAGGCCAGCCTGGCCGCCCGCCCGCCCGGGGGCGGTGAGGAGCGAGGAAGGGAGGGAGGCTGGGAGGAGGCGGTGGTGGCGGAGGTGGGGGAAGGGAAAGGTGGAGGGGCGGGGGGAGGGGAAGCGCCCGCGAGCCGACGCCCGCCCGCGCGCCCCCGCCTTGCGTCCCCCTCCCCCCACCCCGGCACCGCGCGCCCCCGCCTCGCGCTCCCCCTTCACCTCATCCCCTCCCCCCGCTCCGCGCGCGCGCCCCGGTCTTTCACTTCGGCCTCGCGCGCCCCCAGCTCGTGTCCCTTCATTTCTTCTCCTTTTACTCTTTCTCCCCTCCCTCGCGCCCCGTTTCCCCCGCCTTCCCCGCTTTCACTCACTGCCTCAGGCCCGCCATGCTCCCCTCCTTCCTCTCTAGCGCGCCCCCCCTTAACTCTCTCCACCCCCAGTGGTGCCCTCAGGGTGCGGGGGCCGCTCCCTGCTCTCAGTCTTGTGTTTGCTGGCGGTTGGGACAAATGGGGGATCCTTAAGGGTGAAGGAAGCACGGGATGATTACCTTTCTTAAGGCGAAGGGATCTGGAACGCAGAACCTTACTCCTTTATTTCATCGTCCACCGTTCCCTCGTCCTCCCTTAGAAGGGAATTGTCTAAGCCTGTGTGGGTACTTGTCTTCTGTAGGGACTAAACTACCCCTTTCTTCAGCCGGGCTTCTGGGACCCACTGGATCTGTATCCCAGCTCAGTGCCTGAGGGTCGATGGAACTAGAACTTACCTTTTACTAAACCAAATCCGGACTTAGAGTACTTTTTGCCTCCCTGCTGTAAGGAGCTAGCCACTCCTATGAGTTCAGAGCTTTCGGTGCCATTCGCCGGCCCAGGCACTTTTCCCCTTCATAAAGGTATGGTAGCCTCCTTGGATTCTTCCCTAGCATCAACTTCCCTCCACACACAAGGTGTTAGTTCATAGGGCTGGCCCTGAAGTGGAGATGGAGGCATTGATGGTGGGTGGGTGGCATGTGGATGCTAACTGAGCTAGCTATCAGCCTTTTCTGCTGCTGTCATCTGGAGAATCAGGTAGCCTTCCGAGAACCAGTTTTCTCATTTCTAATAAATGATTATTTAGAGGGCTTTTGTGTGCGTGTGAAGAGAGCAGGGAGATGCTTAACGTAGTGTGTTTCAGCAAAGGAAAAGAGTAGTGCTTTCAGGCCAGACTGAAAGAGATTTGAACTTGCAGCAGCTGGAGTAAAAGCCGGTTTAACAGATCTGTGTTGGGAGAAGAGCTGATGCTTTTGAGTTTTTAAAACATTTTTCTCTCAAAATTATTTTTAAAAAAGACAGTGCATGCATGTGATACAAAGTGAAAAGAAGTCTCTCTCTCTCTCACCTGTGTTCTCCAGCCATCCAGTCCCCATCCCAGTACAGATGACTTCTGGTTGTTTTCTTGCAGCAGCGGGCTGTCTATATGTTGTTGTCTGTATGTTGGAGATTATCCTATTTGGGAGTTTAGTGCTAACTTTACTGCTCCTTCTTTGATACACTGATTTAAACTCTTCCTTGAGATAACCATTTGGATTCATATTTTTGGTGTTGGAGCAGTCTCGGTAGGGTATTGTCCTGTAGTAGCATTTCTGTTGGTGCTTGGTTGGGAAAGAGGCTACTGCTGGAGCTGGTAAAGGTGGTGCTTTGGACAGGCTCAATATATTTTGAGCAAAGGCCCACACCTGTTGGAAATGGTGCTGCCTTTTTGTGACTGATATTCAGTCTCTGACTGTTTTGGAATGGGCTGGGTCAAGAATAGTCTTTCCTTGGGCTTTTTAAGCAGGTGGGCTGTATAAATAACGAGTTAATGGGAGTACTGATTTGGTAGTACTGTGTTCCGTTTTAAGAGGAATATAGTTTTTTAGTCTAGTGGCAGTGGTAGTCATCATGGTAAGGAATGAAGTAGATAAGTATTAATTAGCAGGAATCAGAAGGCTGGACCTTTAGGCTGAGTGACCCAGTTTGAGAAGAGGTGAGGCTTATGGACTTTTGTCCTGCCTATTCCTGACTTGAGAACACTTTTGATGAGGTGAGAGTGATGAGTAGCTGACAGCAGAATCCATCTTTTTGACACTGTGGTTTGCCTTCCCTGCCTATGTGTGATGTCTGTTAACTTCCTGTTTAGAGGCAGTCCCAGTAGGGTCTGAATAGAGGCTACATTCAAATACTTGTCTAGGAACAACGTTAACCAGGTTCCCTGATCAGCACTTCAGATGTAAGTTATGGCAGTAACTTTTACTGCCGTGTTTAGCGTAAGGCCGTAGGGTGGTGGGGAAGGGAAACGTGAGAATTCTGTTCTGAATTTCAGTCTTAAAAGTACATTCAAAAGTCTGTGTGCTGCCTGCCTCCCCTTTTTTGGACTAATGTCTCTCCTTACCACCCACCACCCCCACCTTCCCCCCACCCCCACCCAGATCTCCAGGTTGGGTTTTGTTTAGAGAACAGCAGTGTGGAAGAAGAGTCAGTGTGTCAATAATAGTATCCTAATCTTCTGCTGGGACCTCTGGATTAAGCGTTATCTCGTATGTTGTATGTAAACTAGGCCTGTTGTTATTTTAATTTAATTTAATTTATTTATTTTTGGCTATGTTGAGTCTTCCTTGCTGTGCGAGGGCTTTCTCTAGTTGCCCAGAGCCAGGGCTACTCTTCGTTGCAGTGCGCAGGCTTCTCATTGCGGTGGCTTCTCTTGTTGTGGAGCACAGGCTCTAGGCATGTGGGCTTCAGTAGTTGTGGGTCGTGGGCTCTAGAGCGCAGGCTCAGTAGTTGTGGCGCACGGGTGTAGTTGCTGCAAGGCATGTGGGATCTTCCTGGACCAGGGCTCGAACCCGTGTTCCCTGCATTGGCAGGCGGCTTCTTAACCACTGTGCCACCAGGGATGTCCCTCTTGTTTCAATTTACTGATTCTTCCTTCCTTCCTTACCTCCCCCACCCGTCAAGCTGAAGGTGCATATTTAGGGGAACAGCAGCTGTGCTGTCCTGGTTTCTAGACTCTGGAGCTTATTCCATGTTAGCCACCTCATTGGGAGTCATGCTGACAAGTAGCCCCTCTGCACTCAGCTCAGGATGCTCATTTAGTTCATTGAGAAAAGCCAAACCAGCTTTGGTTGATTAAAACAATTGCTCGATAAATCATGATTTGAGCCATACTGGAACTGAAGGACTTTCTTCTCCAGACCACTTGCAGTACTTAAAGCTCTGCTTCATTACATATTAAGGCACAATAGCCAGGCATTTTCTGAGACAGTTTAGAGGGGAAGAAAAAAAAGACACAGAGTCAGATTGACTATAAATCTAGTCCTGGCATAAAGCTGTTCACCTTTTGCTCAGGAAAAATCCAGCCTATCAGGCAGTGCCACACGAAGTTGCAGTTCTCTTGCATTGGCTAAGCAAGCAATCCTGGGAATTGGATACATAAGGAAGTTCAGCTTCTGTTGAAAAGAACTGGCTTTGGTGGGGGGAAGCTTCTGTTAGCCATATAGTTTATCTTCAGTAATCCCTGTGATGTTTTTTCTGTAGGTACTGGTTGGGGATTTTGGTGGCTCCAGAGTCCATGAAGCAGAGAGCCTCCTATATTTGCGTAGTAGTGATGAAAGCCTCTGAAGAGTAGATTTGATTTGAAGTGCTCCTTCTTCATGTTCCATCTTTTACCTTCTCTTTTATGGATATATGAAATATCCCTATACGGTTTGAGTTTATTCAGTAGGAAAGGAGTGACCCAGGGTCATTAAGGGCTTAACCAGTCTGATATACTTCTAGATGGTATCTCAGTAATGTTTGATGTCTCCCTCATAATCCTCTGGTGTTTGCCGTAAGTTGCCATCAACCGGCAAGACGCTATCAAGAGTTCTGGCTTGTACCAAAAGCAACAGATGAATGAGGACACATATTTTGTTAATTTTGGGGTATGAAATGGTCAAATCCCAGACCTTAAAGAGTCATAATAATTGCAGAAGCTTCTTTGACTACATGTGAACTTAGTTGTTATTAATACTAACAGTAAACGATTAAGGAAAATGACAATACTTTGGCATTCCTGAGCCATTCTCTTGTTTTTTTTTCACATCTGGCTAGTATACATTTTTAAAAGTAATTCAGTTACTTGAACCTGAAAGCCATGCTTTAAGCCTCCTAATAAAGCTTTCTTGATCTTGTCTCATTTATGGGGAAGGTGGAGTTTGTAATCTACCAAAAAATAGGCTGGATATTAGGATTTAGATTAGACTTTAGGATTAGTAAATTCTCATTATGGTTGTGAGGGATTAGAAATGTTAATTGGAGAGGTTGTGCATCTCTAACCTAGAAGGTAGTTATAAAGTTAGCTTCTTGAGGATATTTAAATTCAGACTTCCTTGGAGGGAGTTTGTGGGCTAATAAGTGGCAAATTGGAATAGCAGAACACAAGCGTAGAGAGTCTAGAAATCCCGGGTCAAATCCTAGCTTTACCATTTATTTGATACAGGATTTTGGGTAAACCTCCTAAATTTTTTTTTTTTTGGCCGCGTGGCTTGTGGGATCGAACCCAGGCCCTCAGCAGTGAAAGCATGGAGTCCTAACCACCAGACCACCAGGGAATTCCCAAGCCTCCAAATTTTTGAACTCCCGTTTCTTGCACAGTAAAAGCCAGTCTTTACCTTGGGCTCTAAGGTCTTACATGATCTGCCTCTCCCTATTCTTCTCTTTTTGATCTCCTGTCATCCTCCCTTTTGCTCACTCCATTCCAGCCACATTGACTTGTTCCTTAAGTGCATTAGCCACACTCTATCTCAGGACCTTTGCACTAGTTATTCCCTCTAGTGGGAAATAACTAGTTTTTCCCACAGAGATAATACAAATGACTAATTTTCTTACCTTCTTCAGTCAAGCCTTTGTTTAAATGTCACCTTTTCAATGAGACTTTATCCTACCCCTATTTAAAATTTCACCTTTAGCTTCCACCCCTCACTTGTAATCCTTCTCTGTTCTTTCTTTTTCATACAGCACTTACAGCTTTCTAACACACTTATTTGTTACATTTATTGCTTATTGATTCCCC